CCCAAGACATTAGGACATTGGTCCCAAGATGGTGACCAGGGGGTGGGGCACCTGTCAAGGGGTGGGGCGCCTATCAAGGGGTAGGGCTACCCATGCAGCCCTCAACAGTCTGCCAGAACTGGGTAAGCAGCCCTTCGCCCGAAATAATTGCCCGCCCCTGGTGTAGACATATTCTGTATGTAACTGTGTCACCTGCTAACCCAGGGGCAGGCAATTATTTTGGGCGGAGGGCCGCTTACTGAATTTTGGCAAGCCATCGAGGGCCGCATGACAGGCAGCCCAGGGCAGATAAATATTAATTTTCTAATTTGTTTAGGGGACCTGTGGGCCAGATAGAATGGCCTGGCAGGCTGCATCCAGCCCGCAGGCCGCATTTTGCCCACCCCTATGCTAACCCCTGCCATGTTAGTACTACAGGTTTTTATAGATTTGTGCAGGTATTGTTCTGGTAGCCTATTATCATTGTGGCTCATTATTTGTTTACACCAGTGCCTCCCATCAGTTCAAGACCCTAGTAGGATTGGGATTGTACCATCTAAACACACTGGATCCTTTCTGAGTCATATGGGAAATAAATAGACCCTGGACTACTTTTATTATAGTTTCATAGTTTTAGGGTCGGAAGGGACCTAATAGATCTTCTAGCCCGACCCCCCGCCAGGGCGGGAGAACAACAAAAGAACCCTAAACAAAAAACGGGACTCAAATGAGTCCAGCCAGGTAGGTATCCAGCCTCTTCTTAAAGATCCCCAGGGTAGGGGCCAGCACCACCTCCCTTGGAAGTTGGTTCCAGCTCCTAGCCGCCCTAACTGTGAAGTAGTTTTTTCGGATGTCCAATCTGTACCTCCTCTCCATCAACTTGTGCCCATTACTCCTTGTTATGCCAGCGGGGGCTAGGGGAAACAGCGTCTCCCCCAAACCCTTCTGGTTCCCCCTAGTGAGTTTATAGACGGTCACCAGGTCCCCCCTCAGCCTTCTCTTGTGGAGGCTGAATAGGTTCAGGTCCCGCAGTCTCTCACTGTAGGGTCTGCCCTGTTGTCCCCGGATCATGCGGGTGGCCCTCCTCTGGACCCTCTCCATGTTGTCCACATCCCTCCTGAAATGGGGCGCACAGAACTGGACACAATACCCCAGCTGCGGCCTGACCAGCATCGCATAGAGGGGGAGGATCACCTCCCTGGCTCTACTCGAGATGCACCTGTGGATGCACGACAAGGTCCGGTTAGCCCTGCCAACCATGACCTCGCATTGTCGGCCCATGTTCATCTTGGAGTCAATAATGGCACCAAGATCCCTTTCCGCCTCCGTGCTCTCAAGTAGGGAGTTCCCCATCGTATAAGTGTGCTGCTGGTTCCTACTACCCAAGTGCAGCACCCTGCACTTGTCCGTATTGAAACACATCCTGTTCCTGTTTGCCCACCCCTGTAACCTATCCAGATCCTTCTGCAATCTCTCTCTCCCTGCTAGCGTGCTCACCTCCCCCCAAATTTTGGTGTCATCAGCGAATTTAAACAGGTTGCTTTCCACCCCAACATCAAGATCGCTGATGAAGAAATTGAACAGCGCAGGCCCCAGGACCGAGCCCTGGGGGACTCCACTACCCACCTCCCCCCAAGTCGAGTATGATCCATCCACCACCACCCTCTGAGTGCGACCCTTCAGCCAATCTGCAATCCATCTGACTGTGTAGGCATCTATGCCACAGTCGCCTAGTTTATTAATTAGGATGGGGTGAGAGACGGTGTCAAAGGCCTTGCTGAAGTCCAGAAAGACTACATCCACCGCGACACCTGCGTCCATGGCCTTTGTGACCTGATCATAAAAGGCAATCAGGTTGGTCTGACATGATCTCCCCCTAATAAATCCATGCTGATTGCCCCTGAGCATCATCTCGGATGCCGGCCCATCACAAATGTGCTCCTTGATGATCTTCTCAAAGAGCTTCCCCAGGATTGAGGTAAGACTGACGGGCCTATAATTGCCCGGGTCCTCCCTTTTCCCTTTTTTGAAGATGGGGACCACATTAGCTACCTTCCAATCGTCTGGCACCTGGCCCAAGCACCACGATCGCTCGTAGAGCCGTGCCAGGGGCCCTGCAATAACCCCAGCCAGCTCCCTCAGCACCCTGGGGTGGAGAGCATCCGGACCCGCTGACTTGAACGCGTCCAGCCCCTCCAGAAGCTCTCTAACCCGGTCCTCCCCAACCTGAGGTCTGAAGGCGATCCCCTCGCGTCCGGCTTCTATCACAGCAGGGAAGTCCCGGTCCCTGCACAAGAAAACGGAGGTGAAGAATTGGTTAAAGAGGTCCGCTTTATCCTCTGACGCAACCACCAGATTGCCCCGCATATCCTGCAGGGGCCCCACATTACCCGGCGCCTTCTTCATCCTCCCAATATATTTGAAAAAGGACTTTTTGTTATCCTTAATCCTGGACGCTAATCCGAGCTCTATCTCCGCCTTGGCCTTCCTAACAGCCCGCCTGCAGGCCCGAGCAGAGGAGGTATACTCCTCTTTGGAGATTACACCCCCCTTCCACCGGGCGTACGCCACCCTTTTGGCAAGCAGGCATTCCCGGACACCCTTGGTGAGCCAGGGGGGCTTTTGGACACTCCTGCCCGCCTTGCTTCTTGTCGGGATGGACACCCCTTGGGCCCCGAGTATCGTTTCCTTAAGGAACGACCACTCCTCTTGGACGCTGAGTTCCTCTGCCCTCAAGGACCCCAGTTCCTCTCCCACTAATCTCCTCATCTCACTGAAGTTGGCCCTCCTGAAGTCTAGGGCCACCACCTTGCTGCGGGCCCTTGACACTCTACGCTGGATGGTGAATTCCAGCACGCGATGATCACTATTGCCCAGGTGGTCAAGAACCTGGAGGCCTCTTACCAGGTCGTCGCCTGCGGCCAGGACCAGGTCCAGCAGAGCATCTCCTCTGGTGGGACTGTGCACCTCCTGAATCAAGTGGAGGTCCTGCAACTCGGCCAAGAACCTCCTGGAGCGGTCCGTCCCGGCTGACTGCTCCTCCCAGCAGATGTCCGGGTAATTAAAATCGCCCATGACAACTACATCCCTTGCTTTTAGTGTCTCCGCAAGCTGGCCTGAAAATTCCCTGTCCAGCTCCTCCTCCTGATTGGGGGGTCTGTAATAGACCCCCACCGTCAAATCCCTCTCGCCTTGCCCCCCCTGGATCTTGACCCAGAGCACTTCAGCTCGCCCTTCCCCTGACCCCATACTGCTGGCAGAGGATGTGTAGTGCTCCTTGACATAAAGTCCCACCCCCCCCCCTGATACCCACAGGCATGCCAGAATAAGGAACATGGCTTTAAGTGAAGAGGTAATGTACAGGAAGAAAAAGTAACTATAGTATACTACATACAAGTAACTTTACGTCTCTGTTAACCCTACGACATCTGGATTTGAACTAGCTATTCTGAGGGCGAGTTCCTCCTGTTTGTTCCCCATGCTACGAGCATTGGTGTACAGGCATTTAAGGCCTTGCAAGACTGTGCGCCCCCCCCGATTAGGCAGACCATCAGGACCCCCATTACTTACCTTTGCACCCCTTGCCCTGATGGCGTCTCCTCGTCTTCCTGCAGCCCCCTCCCCCGGCGAGTCTAGTTTAAAGCTCGCCGTACGAGATCAGCCAACCTGGAAGAGAAGACACGCTTGCCATTAGGGGAGAGATGAAGCCCATTACTTTCATAAGGGAATGTATGGAATGTAAGTAGGCACATGGGCTGACAAATAGATTAAGAAGTCAGGCCACAAGTACAGCGGTCACCCTTGAAAGCCAGTACTTACCAGCAGCTGCCATGCAACACCCTTGCAGATGTCAAAATGACAGCCCACTCCAGGAAAAGGGAAATACTGAGGTTTCCCAGAACCAAGAGTGTGGTGACTGTTGGTACTTGCTGACTTCTGAATAGCAACATCTCTATCTGTAACATTTCTTAGATATCCTTCATGACCATACCTTGTTGACCAGCTTTTGGGTAGTAAAATCTGTGCCATGGTCCTTGACTCTCCACAGACTTCTGGAACAGGAAGTAGTCTACTTAGGAAGAATTTTTAGTTCACTTCAATTCTTCTATTTAGTTCACTTCTATTTCAGTATACTTTCCATTCTTTGTTGTAGCCACCTGAGTACAGTGCTAGGCAAAGAGGGATGCAGGGAGTAGCCTGGCCACCACTCAAGCTAGAAACAATATATCTGCATTGTTATGACACTGGGCTCTTGGCATGAAGCAGAAGGTTAGTCAGTGTTATGAGAAACTTCAGGAATGAGGTTGTCAATGCAGGGCTGATTTTCCAAATGCAGAATAAAAGGCCCATTTCAGGGACTTTTTGAAGATACCAGGAAACAGCCCTGAAATTGGGGACTGTCCTTGAAAATATGAGATGATTGGTTGCATTACCATGTGTTTTACCAGGATGGTACCAGACAGACTGACTGGTACTACATCCCTTGCAAATTCAACCCTCCTGTTGATTGAAATAAATTTATTAGCAGTGGCTTCGCTGAGGGTATATTCTGCTGCCTCATGCCATAGCTGGGCTAGGATGGAAACTGGAGGTTGGTAACATCATCAACCTGCAAGTGAAAATACAGTGTTCCTTTCCCATTTCCTTACAGATAGATCTGACTGTAACAAGTTAATGCTGTAGTCTACTAGAATAGGAAACTGTAGGAGGTGCTTCCACTGCTGAATAGTCACTTTTTACTGCCACATCTGAAGCCCAGACTTGCAATTTTCTTTTGTAACATTTACACCTTATAAATTGTAAGGTGTAATTGTAAGGAGATTGTAAGGTTCAATTTCTTATTGAACTAAATACCTTTCCTTTCCTGTTTCAGCACATCTGAGGCATGAAGAAAGACTGAAACCTCCCCTTCCCCTGACAGGAAACCCTAACGTCAAAGAAAAACTGTGCAGCTTTTCTAGATGAAACAGCAACATAATACATTGGTAACACCTAAACTAGGCTTCATTTAAGTACACTTAATCTGTATAGCCAGTAACTTTTGAGATCTTGTCTTGTAGATCTATGTTTTTTGAGATACAAACGTGCTTTTTTCTGGACTTTCCTACTGTGCCCCACTTACTTTTGACTGGTAAGACAAACCTTATGAATTTATTCTAATGATGAGAAGAGTCATTTTTATAGACGCCTCATATGAAATAATTTTCTTTCATGCTGAGTATAGGCTGCCAGAATTAGGTTTTTTTTAACAATGATTTTTTCAGCTGTTAAGTATTTATATACAATAAATTGACATCACCAGGTTCAAACCAGGACACTAGTCATATTGAAATATCAACCTAAATCTTATACATTGGTCAAAGGTCATCCTAATAGTAGTTTCATAGTAGCTAGGGTCAAGAGGGCCCTGAACAGATCATCTAGCCTGCCCCCCTGCCACAGGCAGGAATGAATGCTGGGTTCACAAGACCCCAGACAGGGGATCGTCCAACCTCCTCTTGAATTTGCCCAAGGGAGGGGCGAGGACCACTTCCCTGGGAAGTTGGTTCCAGATTTTGGCCACCCTAACTGTAAAATATTGCCTTCTGATCTCTAACCTAAACCTATTCTCCATCAGCTTATAACCATTGTTCCTCGTCACCCCAGGTGGTGCTGGGGAGAAAAGGGCTCTGCCTATTTGCTGTTGATCCCCCCTGGTGAGCTTGTAGGCAGCCACCAGGTCCCCCCTCAGCCTCTTCTTGCTGAGGCTGAACAGGTTCGGGTCCTTCAGTCTCTCCTCGTAGGGCCTGTTCTGCTGCCCTCTCACCAAGCGGAGAGAGATATTATTACCCATAATATTGTTGCTATGTAATTAGGGATGCAACTGCTGAATCTATGAGAATAGTTATATAACTAGTTACTAATCACATTTGTCTTCGGAACTATCATTGTATTGCCAATCCTCATGATTTTTGGTATTTTTCTTAAAGTCTACGCTTCAGGAATGTGAAAAGCAGCTCTTTCTTTTATCTCTATATATAAATATAGATGAAAGAGCTACATTTTTTTCCACATTCCTGAAGTCTAGACTTCAAAATCAATACCAAAAATAATGGGATTTGGCAACACCGTATTATATTCACTGATCAAGAATAGCAGTTCAGGAAAATTCACCACCAGGCTGAGTCCAAAAGGGAAAAAACAGGGACAGGCTTTTACCATCCAAAGAGCAGCAGTGGTGCTTACAGACTACTTGGCCAACTAGACTCAGCTGTGAACCAAACCCTGACTTTTCTCTCAGCACAGGGACTACTTCCTCAGCCTCTGCCAACACCACAGCTCAAAACCAACTACACCTGGAACAGCCAGAAAGCTAACTGACTAGGTTGGCTTTGAACTCCTGAACTTGACCATCACTCTCTTCAATGCACTATTTTTATATCTATTTACAAATTCCTCAGGACCTCAAGTACAACACTAACCCTGATCCCCCTGCAATCACTTGAGAGTTTTCGTGGGGACCAACATTTGGTTCTTCCTCACAAGCCTCTTTTAGAAACAATATTACTGCCTCACATACTGGCAGAACAAATTCGTTGTACCACTTGGGAGTCTGACATTTCACAAAAGCTGTTCTCCGTGTTTCTGAAGGCCAATAGGAATTATTGACAATCACCAGCTGGGAGGCCAATTTCAAGTCTAAGAAATTTGAAAATCAGGCATGTAAGCTAGTATCCTTTCTACATTCTTGTACCTGATTATCCAGCCATCACGGCTAGCAACAAAGCCAGATTTTCACAGAGTCTCTCTGTCTTGCATCTTATGCTGTATAACCTTGAGTGCTAACCCTGCAGCAAAAGTGCTTTTAGGTCCTAAATTTAGCAGTGCACTTAAGCACATGTATTCCTCTTGAAATCAACGGGACTGCTCCTGTACTTAAAGATATGTATGTGCTTACATGTGCTGCTGGATTAGGGCTTCATTTGGTGAGATTCTGACAGGCTTAGCACCTATACCTTCCATTGAAGTTAATGGGCCTCAGGAATTTACTTAGTGGGAATTTTACCAATAATTCTCATTGACTTCAAAGGGAGATGTGGTCCAGAATATGGCCCACAGTGTGTGATCCTGGTAAAGGGCTCTTCCTGATTTTTTCTGATTTGTGTACAATAGGATTGATAGCTATATTACATGGCTGTCAGGATTACAATAGCAGATCTAGACTTACCAAATGTGTGCCTGTATTTTAACAGCTTAGAGCTTTGTCTCTTGCAGTGGATTTGAAACACTCAGTTTTTATTATTGGATATTGCCATCAAGTTGGGAGTATCAGTGTTTTGGGATAGTTTCTATGGATCAGTTCTCTCCTGTAGACAGTATTTTATACAACACAACTCTGTGTATATTCAGGGTGGACTGCACTGTGTAATCCTGCCAGTGTGTTGTAGAAATGTACTTCATTAAATACAAAATATATTTGATTAAATTTATATGCCCTGAGTTTGGTATTTTGGTACTTCTTTCTGTGCTTATTACTGTGCTGGATGTTCTATTAAAGTCTAAATAAAGGTTATCTCCTGTTACAATCTATTTGTTTAAGTTCCAAGTACTCTGGTGATATGTTTTTATAAACTTTGAATTTGCACCTATTGAGAACAGAGTTCTGTAACAGGCTATGTCCTCAGGCATGGTGATGGTGCCCCTTGTCAACCAAGTGGCTCCGGTTCCTCTGTTTCCTTAATCTCCCTCTGCTCTCTCGCTTGCCACACCTTGCTGGAATTATTTAGTTTGGGACAAGGGAGGTTGCCCAGGCCCCCGAGTGACTTCTGGTCCTGTGTTAGTCAGTGCGCTAGCAATGTTAGCCTTGTGGGTCAATTTCTTGGCCTCTGACCTCCCCTCTTACCAGGCCCATGCCTTGTAGGTGTTAACTGTTACAGTTCAATGGGCCCTGAGCCAATATATGTCCATCTTTGGCCTCTGTGTCTTTAAGTATCTCAGTAGGCTCTTGGCGCCAATCTAGTGTATGGTCCTCTCCAGCCTCTATCTTGAAGAGCTCTAGTGGGCTCACAGACCCTGTTCAGCATGTGGCCCTCTCCAGCCTCTGTTTCTCATGGGCTAAAACAGTAGCTTGTGCCTGTCTGGGCAGGCTGAAGCCTCCTTGTGGCTTCCTGGCACTACTAGAATCTTTGCCACCCCTTACTGGTCCCAATCAGTTCACCAGTATGGACCATAACTAAAAGGAAGCCCCCAAGCTTATAAATAAAACTACTAAGCTACATACTATAGCTGAACTCTTTACCAGCCTTCAGGGTAGGCAGATCCCAGGCAGCCCTTCATCCATAATCCCCTCGGTGCAGAGCTCTTTCCAAGACAGCCTGCAGGGCCAGACTCACCCTGAGCTATATATCCACCAAGCCATGCCCCTGGGATGACTAGTCATGTGCCTTCCTCTGGCCCACTGCAGGTATCCTCTATTAAATCTGTAGACCAGCCAAACTGCAGTAGCAGTTTCTCTCTTCTCCAGGCTGAACTCTGTCCTACAGTACTATTGCTGTGCTACCAGCCCTGCAATAAGTACTCTGCTGCCCTGGCCACTTTGCCCCATCGCCTTACCTCTGAGCTTCTTGTTCTGCACTGGGTGCCTACAAGCTATTAGTCCCCTACTGATTGGCCTCTCCAGGCTACTGGTAAGCAGCTCCCTGCACCTGGGTGCCCCTGTAGGTAATGGGGAGTCCCCAGCTCCCTGTTACAAGATCATTTAGGTCTTTAGCCTATGTACTTCTGCAGTTTTCCCTAGTCAGAACGAGAGAGAAATAAAATGAGTCACAATGGGCTAGTTCCCAGAGTATCCTTCTCTCATTCTCTCCTTAAATGCTTGAGGAAAAAAAAGATGAACTTCTCAGCATCTCTGGAAAGGAAACACCTGAAGCACCTAAAAAATGGTAAAGAGTAACTCTATGATATCTCCTAGTTTGTTGGTGAGGTTACAGTACAGTGAAAGTGACATGAAGTGTTATATTTTTAATTAAACATGACAGGAAATGATGGAGGTACACAGCAGTACAACAGATTTGAAAAGGGGTATTCCCTCTCCAAATACTCTGGGAACCATGGTTCTAGCCCATTGTGACTCATTTTATTTCTCTCTCATTCTGACTTTCACACACTAGCCTATTAACAACACTGCTCTGTCTTGAGAACACCGTTTTTGTCATCTTACCCATATATGTTGGTGGGGAAGGCAGTATTTTCCTGCAGTCCCAGTAACCCCAGAGGTCAAAGAGCTGAGACAGAGCACACACTATCAAAAATGTTAGTGTACATTTCTTAATGCCAATTTATTTCAAGCAATTGTGTCACAGGATAGTTTTATTTAGCATGCAACTGTCTGAACAGAGTACTGAACTGAGGCCTAGGATGGCTGGATGTGTCTAACTGTGAAGGGTCAGAGCTGGTCCCCAAATTCTAGAGCTGCATTATTCCTATTCTGCCCAGCCTGTCCATGCAGTCACTTCTCAGTTGTAGCTGGGAAAAAATATTTTTATTCTTGCTTACAAATGCATGCAATTTCTGATGCTGCAAGAATCCTCTGACCTGCAGCCCTCAGCTCCTGGATTTGCTCAGGTCAGCAGAACAGAGGTTGTTATGCTTCTGTCTCTCTGGTTACAAAAAGGTTCACAGGAATCAGATTTCAACTAGGTTGTGGGCAAAGAGAAAGAGAAATTTTCCACCTACCAGGGTGTTCTCACATTTCCTCAAATACTCTTACAAGTCTCAAGAATCTCACCCCAAAGAGGGACTGTCCCAAACATGAATCACAGAAAGAAAAAGGGCAAGGCTGAGACAGGGGCTAGAAAGGAGGCCTGGGCTATGAAAAATATTGGGACGGGTTAAATGTAGGAATTGGGAAAGACTTGCTAGGATGTGAGCCCATGAACAGGGACAGTCAAGCCAGTGGTGAGTGAGAGAGTGGCTAGTATTTACTATCTTGGGGTGAGCATCCTGTAGTAAGAGACCATGAATTTGCAGTTGTCCATATCAGTGGGAGAAACACAAGAAGCCAGGGAAGACTGGTCTAGAGGACACCTGGCATTACCGGATAAAGGACAAATGAGCCTGACAAGAGTGGGAAAGCTGTTATGTTCTGCAAAGTGTTTTGGGGGAGTGTAGCTAGAGGTGTAAGTCACTTCAGCAGACCTAGTTATACTGACTCTTAAGGTCTGATTCTGGGCCCTGCTTCAGTCTTTACTTTTGAGTTAATTTGGGCTACTGCTTAGGAGCTGTACTTAATACCCTTCTATCCACATATATTATCTCACCTGAGTTTGACAGTACCTTCAACCCAGGCTACTTGGTACAGGTTGGAGTAAGAGCTAGAACCTGTACTCGGCTCACTTTAGCAAGTTGCATTGCAAATGCAGGCCAAATCACTCTAGTACTGACAGTCCACCAATGCCTTTCTTGCATGCTAAGGACAGACAAGTCTTTCCTCAATTCACCAGAAAAGA